GACGAAAATCAAAGTACAAAATGGTTTCCGTTCAGAAAAGAGCAAAATTTAATAGAAAATAAATTGTTTGATTTTCCATTACTATAAGTTACAAAAAACAAATTGACACTAACAATGTAATGTACAGTAAAGGCATCTTCGATCGATCCCACTTTAAGTGACAAAAAGGATACGCAAGGGGTACAAAAAAGCATATTATATGTAATCCTGTCTATTTTAACGTAGGCACACTATATTTGAATAGAATTCAACGATCTATCTTCTCTATACGAAATCTATCTCCTTCTCGATAGTTAGTCGTATCTTTATCGAGAATATTTTCGGTGGCATCTACATACTAGAGAGACGTAGTATTGTAACTGGTGAACAGAAAAATCGAAAGGGAATTGATCCGTGTAAAGGGTTCGATGATTCAGAAAACAAGGCCAACTAGGGTGATGAACACAAAAGAAAAACTTGTGAATGGCCATTCAGCTGTTCACGATCACTATCAATATTTAAAGGAAGCTAATTAATTAGAACAATGATGAAGATTACGGTCAGGTTGTGCTTGTACTGGCTGACAGATGGTCCAATCGTATAGATTACGTATTTATTAAGAGAAATATTAAACCGAGGACATTAAAACGTAGTCTGACTGTATTGCGCAGCACACGGAGAACTGTATCATAGACAACTATTTACGAATTCGTAATTGGATATTTCTCAGAATTGGACAGTTCGCGGATGCATGTAAACTTTTGGCAAATTTAAAATATCATTTTTAACAACCGTGTATTCTTAACACTAGTACTACCAAACCAGTCAAGATGACTGGCTTTCAATGGAGAATCGCATATATAATAAAAGGTCGGTAGTTCTAGTGTTAAAGAAAAAAGCAAATATTCATTTAAAAAAAAACATAGCAACTAATCGTGTCATGAATTGTAACGTAAACGATTTGCGATATACGTATGTACCTTTTCTCGCTCGACCGCATCTTATGTAAAATTTAATGACTTCACCTGGACGCGAAGAAACTTATTGTTAGATATTTTTCATTATTCAACAGCGATAGTATCGATCTTTTCAACGTAAGTTGCATATATAGATATCTATATATCTCCGATAAATTATTATTCCGCATTCTTTGGAAATTCATTGTAAAATGACATGCGAATTGTCAGATACTGTGCAATAATCACAGCAGATTGACAAAGGAAGAAAACAAAAATACTTATACGACACGTTAAATCTGAAGGAATTTAAACAAAATAGAGAAAGAGAAAAAAGAGAGAGTGTGTGAAAGTGTTAAAAATATTCATGTGATGTTATATTTTCGATGTAAAGCAAAGTGTATATGTAATATATCCGTGGTAAAACTACGTATATCTCGTAGCTTTAATATACCGGTGGAAGCGACTTCTTTTACGAACAGAAATTTAAAAAAATCGAACGAAGTAAATGTTGTAAAATAATCACAATAAGCTTATTATTGTTAGATATGGTTGAGCTCATATTTTTCGTTTCCCTGTCATTAAAAAGAACTCGTTTCCCATCGGTATAAGCCATAAGCATGTATTCGGATTATTCGTTTGAATGTTGGTTGTTAAATGTTAGGATAGAAAATCTTACAAAAAGAGAATGCCCAGCCTACCAGCATTGGGCATCGGAGGCGTGTTTCGTTGCATACGAGATTCTGTTAGACCAGTGAAATTTTTTTCATTCAGATGAAATATCAATCATAGTTATTTTTTCGCGTTTAAATATATATTTTTTGGAAAATCATTTCCGTCAATACGTAAAATACGTATGTAACAATATTTCGCGTATCACGTATCCGTTGAGCATACATAATATATTGGCACTTGAAAACTGAATGTTACTTTGTTGTTTACACATATCGTTAAAAAAATTTTTCATGTGTAATATCGATTATTCTATTAAAAACTTATAATATTACACACGGCGTCTAATATCAATACCCAACAAAATATATATCTTGTGACAATTTATTTTATGATTCGTAATTCTTGTTTATTATTTCGTAACTATGACGAAATCGACAGAGTTTCAACTGTGTTTTTCACAAAATTGCTCAAATTATATAAATCTATTAAAACAATGAGTAACAAACAATAGAAAATTTTATTCACAAGCAGTAAAAAATGTATTAAGGTTTATTTTTGTAAATATCATACAGGTAATTTGTATTCACATTAGACGTATCATCACTTAATTTCTAATTATATAAAAACTACACTTCTTCTCATAAATTAAATCAACATATCCGCTTATGCTCCAAAAACTTTATTAATGACTTTTCCAAGAAAGATGATTTTTCTTATTTAAAAAATGCGATCACTGCCACTACTTACTTGTTTGCAACGAAATTTAAGTTTCTCATTAGAAATTGTATCACTGCCTCAAAAGGGTAGCCATTAATTGCTGTTGAAGCTTCAATCAACAAACAAAATTTAAGTTCGGAAGTATTTGTCGAAATGAATTAAACGTGCGAAAATAATTTTAGTCATGAAAATCATCGTTTGAAACGCTGCGTTCGTAATTACCTTAGTTACAAGAAAGCCTATATATTGATATGATTAATACCATAATTAGTTATTACACTATACTGGAAAGTATGTAACTATTTTATAAATAAATAGATGATCAATGTTCGTTTGAGTTATATTTTTTGGATGCTCATTTACCTATTGAGAACAAGGGATTAACTTTAGAAAGGAAGGTATATTTTGTAGTAGTCTTCAACACTTTATTTTTCCCATTCATAATTACACAATTTATTGAATCTTTTACCATGCTTAAAAATATTGCATACGTATCTTATAAAATTTCCCAATTACTAACTCCTTATATAAAGTAATAATAATATTAACTAAAATGCATTATCAAACTTTATGAACAATTTATTTTATATCGGTATTCACCATCATTTCAATATAGAAATACATGACACATTTTTCAAAGTATAAAGATAATTAAGACCGAATTTTTATAAAAATTCTTAATAAATTACGTACTTATAGACTCTGACTTCAATTTTTCAGATAACTGTTGACCAATGAAATCCCAGTACCTCCTCCTTATGGTATCATGCTTCACAGATAATTCTTTACACAACTGAATTTAAATGCAATCATAAATTATACTGCTGATTCGTTAATAGATACAATTACAATACATTAATAGATACAAGATAGATATAGAAACAAAAAGAACAGTACCTTTATAGCATTCTCAATATGAAATATTGAATCTGGCGACTCATCTGCTATTGGTCTGTCTTGACAAATGTCTATAATACAGGCCAGTAAATGACTGGTACGATAACCAGCCTCGTACAGTTCCTCACACTTCGTTCTTACTTTTTCATAGGCCAAACCACTGCTATCCTGCTGCAGAACACTAAAACACGATAATTAATTCACAGCATTAATTAAATCGACATATAAACATGAATTGCATAAAAAATGATAACCAACTGTACCCTCTGAGGTAATTCCAAGCACATTCATTGCCTTTAACTAATTCTATTTTATCCAAAGCAAAATCAATTTCTCTATCAATAACACTGGACACAAATGTTGTTGTATTATTTATTACGAAATAACGTTGATTCCAAGCGGAATTATTGCGAATATCATCATTCAATAAATATTCTGTGTACTCCAATTCTTTGTCAAATAACCTGCAGATCACATAAATGGGTTATGTATTGTGAAAATTCGTGATTTAAAAATCAGAAATACATATATCGATCATGTAAAGCATACTAACCCAAAGGTTTTTATACACCATTGACGGTGTTGCCAGACATGATAATTCTTTGCATCATTTTTTAAAATGTTCTCTGTAAATTCTAATTCTCCACTTGCGTCTTGCAACAATTCAACAATAACTTTCCTATGATGCCAAGCTTGATAACTTTTGGGATGATACTCTATCAATTTGTTAGTAGTTTTCAATTCTTCTTGTAAGTCTTTGCCAAGGGCTCTAAGTATTTCTCTTCTATATTGCCATACAGTATAATTAGCAGGATTGAGCCAAATGCAATCTTTTGTTAATGTCAATGCACGCTCTGACTTTTCACCAGATTTTAGAATAGCTCGGAAATAATCATACGAGTCCTTAACTTAAAATAATAATAGTATTTTAAAAAGTAGATTGAATAAACTATTGGGCAGCATATGTATTAAGACAATAAATAATCGAAGTAAAGCTAATAATTTTAAGCATAAAATCTTATTCTCGCTATTATAATGTTATGCGTAAGAGGTTAGACTTCCTATTTATAAGAATTACAACAATAACACTAACAATGTTATTATCACAGTCTCACATAATATTAACATCATTTATAAAGTAATGAATACTTACATCTTTCAGAGTATGCAATTGAAACGATAGGATTAGGAAGATCATCCTGAGGCACAGGAATCACGTCTTTCCACTCCTCACGATCTTTGTACAATACCCAACACAATTTTTCACAACTATCTCCACCGTTGAATCCCTCGTCTGAACTTTCTGTCATTGTTTATAACCGATACTTAAATATCGTATAAAAATGAAAATCTACACTACAACTCAGCTCCTATCATGAATTTGGCTTATCGCTCTAAGTGGAGGGGCTGATTTTCGGTGGCTGCCGTCCTCAATCTGGCATCTTTGCATTTATTGCGCAGATCATAGACTTACGAAAAACCCAGGCGTGAGCACTCTCATTTTCTCTCTGCCACTGTCAAATGGTCGTCCGCTTTGACATATACTTCGAAATGACCACCGAGAAGTGAAATGACTCAAAAAATTCTACACTTTTATATAGATCATTTTGTGCATCGGCGAGTGTTTTGTTTTTTATGTAGCAATATATTCTAGAGAGCATCAAAAATTGTTTTTCGTTTGACACGAAGTCCCATGAGGTTGCCACTCTTCAGTAATCTCTGCTCGATGGTGGAACTGACGGATAAACTGACTCATAAAAAGTATTTACCTACAGTAGATTCGACTTTTAACCACAGAATCTTGAAAATCGATTTTATCTCTACGATGGTGGATAGTGTCAAAATGGTCAAACGACGTTGAGACACAAGAGACGAAGGAATTTGACTGTTGATTTCAAGGATCTGTTTGTTTCCTTAAACTTTGATCGAAGAGTCTTTCTTGTTTGACACTTGAACAGTACGTGTTTCGCATTTTTGCTACGATCAAACGTGTCAGCGGCTTCGCATTTCATTTCCCCGGGTAATCGATAAGTTTCAAGGGTCAATCGTCGAACCTTACGCGCAGGTTTACTTGAAAGTGTGTTATTTCTTTCGTATACGGATCATCTGCATCAAGATGTCCACATCGGTGGCAGACAAGCTTCTAGATGACATGAACAGTATACCGCTAGCCGACGATGATCCTCAAGGTATAGATAGCATCGATGTGCCACGTTTCTTAGCCCAGTTCTTATCATTCCATTTGCACTTCTTCGATAGTCGCCTGTTCTTATTCACCATTATAAAATGTAAAACTCCGAATAGATAAAAGTAGTATCCATAGTAAATAGATAAATCCATAATAAAAAGAAACATACATAGTAAAAAGATAAAACCTATATTAATTTTTATACTGTTAAAATTACATGCTCTTTCAAACATTAAGAGAAAAGAATAAGTCCATGTTACTTCATTTTGGACTATTTACATCTTGATTCTGTCATTAATATATTGTATGGTTTTTTCTCTAGAGTAATATGTTAAGAACATTTTATCATATGCATGAATCGTTTAAAACAATTTTCCTTGTACAATAAAATGCACATGAGGTGTTTATTGAAGTTATTATTTTTATTTAAGTAATTATCCCTGAAGAGGAGATCTTGGATAACAGCTGTCATATATCTGATGCACTTGGTAGTGGACAGAGCATGGATTCCATTCCATCTACATTTACAAACGGAAGCTGTAGCCCTAATAGTAAGTTTTATATGATTAGATTTTGTGAATAATAATGACTTCATTTAATTACTCATCATTATGCAACAGGCTTGGATCCTGATATTAGTCCAGATGAGCAAGAGGAGAAAGCCAGGTTAATTGCACAAGTGCTTGAATTACAGAATACATTAGACGGTAAATAAATTTATATAGTACTAGATCAGTGTTAAAGCCCAATTTTTAATGATCACATCTCATCATAACTCATACTCGTACTCATCTCATTGTACTTCGACATACGTAAACCTTTTGGAAGATAGTGCCCTCAAATTTTCCGCTGCCCCATTATGATTAACATAAATTTGAATTACAGAAGTATAACTTGTATTCATTTTTATTCAGATCTGTCGCAAAGAGTAGACAGTGTGAAGGAGGAGAACCTAAAGCTAAGAAGTGAAAATCAAGTACTAAGTCAGTACATTGAAAATCTGATGTCAGCATCCAGTGTTTTTCAATCCACAAGCCCAAACACTAAGAAAAAGTGAATATATGTTTTTACATTAGGAAGCGAATGCTGAAGAAACAGGGATTTTAATTGCACTTCTTCGATAGTCGCCTGTTCTTATTCACCATTATAAAATGTAAAACTCCGAATAGATAAAAGTAGTATCCATAGTAAATAGATAAATCCATAATAAAAAGAAACATACATAGTAAAAAGATAAAACCTATATTAATTTTTATACTGTTAAAATTACATGCTCTTTCAAACATTAAGAGAAAAGAATAAGTCCATGTTACTTCATTTTGGACTATTTACATCTTGATTCTGTCATTAATATATTGTATGGTTTTTTCTCTAGAGTAATATGTTAAGAACATTTTATCATATGCATGAATCGTTTAAAACAATTTTCCTTGTACAATAAAATGCACATGAGGTGTTTATTGAAGTTATTATTTTTATTTAAGTAATTATCCCTGAAGAGGAGATCTTGGATAACAGCTGTCATATATCTGATGCACTTGGTAGTGGACAGAGCATGGATTCCATTCCATCTACATTTACAAACGGAAGCTGTAGCCCTAATAGTAAGTTTTATATGATTAGATTTTGTGAATAATAATGACTTCATTTAATTACTCATCATTATGCAACAGGCTTGGATCCTGATATTAGTCCAGATGAGCAAGAGGAGAAAGCCAGGTTAATTGCACAAGTGCTTGAATTACAGAATACATTAGACGGTAAATAAATTTATATAGTACTAGATCAGTGTTAAAGCCCAATTTTTAATGATCACATCTCATCATAACTCATACTCGTACTCATCTCATTGTACTTCGACATACGTAAACCTTTTGGAAGATAGTGCCCTCAAATTTTCCGCTGCCCCATTATGATTAACATAAATTTGAATTACAGAAGTATAACTTGTATTCATTTTTATTCAGATCTGTCGCAAAGAGTAGACAGTGTGAAGGAGGAGAACCTAAAGCTAAGAAGTGAAAATCAAGTACTAAGTCAGTACATTGAAAATCTGATGTCAGCATCCAGTGTTTTTCAATCCACAAGCCCAAACACTAAGAAAAAGTGAATATATGTTTTTACATTAGGAAGCGAATGCTGAAGAAACAGGGATTTTAAATCAATGTGATCTTATATCTCCGTGAAAAGTATGTGTCTCGAGATTCCAATTGAAACTGCCTTATTTAATGAGAGAAATATAAAATTAATGCAAGAATAAACATTCTTAAATCATCGTCTAACAAATCATGCGTTATTTGATATTTACACATGCATTGTATTTATGTATACACACGCTTTTCACGGAGAAATTCATTTACAAGTAAAAGTACGTTCTCTTTCAAAGCCCACGTTCGAATTAAGTTTATTATTCGAGTCTGTGTACCGAGGATCACGTTTAATTTTTTGTAGTCAGCATGTACAGTGCGCGTACGACGTGATGGTCCTCCGATTCCATTGATTCTTATGGGGGTCAGAGTCCATCAAGTTGTTACGGCGCGGTGCGCATTTTGCTTGCTAAACGTATGTCGTTTTATTTATTGCCAAAGAATTATTTTGCATTTGTGCGTTTCAGTCACGTGTGTTCGAGGAATCTCGATTATTATGACAACAGATCATTTTGTAGCATTTGAAACAAAAAGATTGTTGAAAATCTCATACATTCGAATACTCGTCCAGATTTTTTAACTAAGCATCATTCTCTTCATATTTCTCCGATATTTATACTGTAAGTATTAAATGCAGTTAAGAGCAAAACTAAACACACATTATTTAAGGTTGAATAACTATTTTAAAATCGATTTTGAAAAAGTTCTTCAACTTTAAATAGTGTGTGCTCAGTTTCCCTCCTAACTCTCGAATTCGTTAAAGTTATTGACGCTCTTCTTGGCGTATTTGATATTTACGAATAAGAAGCAAGGGTAGTAAATGTTTGTAGCTATCGTATTTAATCAACGTTTTTTAATTGAAGCTTTCGCTTAAGGGTTTCGACATACTTATATGCAATGTATGTAGATGTACAAAAGAGATAAAAAATAGTTATATGTATATTACGATATAAATTGCGTACGTACAAATGCTGCGAGCACAGTGTAAATTTTAAGCATGAACGTGACTGACCGATTGAAAAACTCAATCGGCACTTTGCCTGCAGCATAATCGAGGAGTATAAAAAAAAGAAAAGTAATAATATACTGCAACGTAAAACTGCAACTTGCAAGAAAGTTTCAGTTGGAGGGCACAAGCAGAATGCACAATCCCAAATTATTCCATTGTTGAGCAACACAGTGTTACAATAAACATATTCTATTGGAAGGTTAATGTGGTTATTTATTTCCCATAAGAATCTATAATCTGATACGTATAACCTAT